AAGTTAAACAAATAAGGGGATAGAGGATCACCCTGTAACAATCCCCTACAAACAGTAATTGGATTACCACATTAATTATTTTGTTTAATTATAACATTGTAATTACCATAAAGTTGACCAATAATATTTATTAGACGTTTACTAGCTTGATGTTTAAGTAATTTATTTTGGAGCAATTTTATGGGTATTGAATCGTATGCTTTTGATAAATCCAGAAAAATAGCAAAAACTTTACTTCTCTTTTTTAGTAACTGCGATTGTATTAATGTCAGTAAAACAAATAAGGCTTTTTGCGTGCCCCTTTAATTATTATATTAAATAGTTTAATATAATAATTATTTAAATTATATTTGTTACTTATTTATTAAATATCTATACAACGTGTTGATTTTAAAATTATCTATTTTTCGTCTATAAAATTTAATCCATAAATTTTTTTGGTAGTAAAATCGACTTGCCATTGATCTTTTCCTGATAATTGATGCTTTTTAACAGAATCTATAGCCCAAAATTTCTCTTGAAAAACTAATTTTGTGATCAGTGCTATCCAAACCACTACTACTACTATCTACACCATAGACTTCTATACATACTTTTTTTCCCGCGAGTTTTAATAGAATTTGTTGCCAATAAACATCCAAGAACAGTCAGTATGTCATCATCAGATGCCATGGCCGACTGACTGACTGAGAGACAATGGCGTAGCGAACATAACTGGCGCCCGGGGCACGATACTATATTGGAGCCCCTTCCCCTCCAGAAACAAATCTTGTTTGTCTTGGAGACCATTTGGGGCCCCTCTGCGAATGGCGCTCGGGGCAAGCTGCCCCACAATAGCTACGCCTCTGCTGAGAGATTTTCTTCTTCGTGTGTGGGCGATAGGAAATTCTGAAGTTCCTCAAGGTCAGGCAGCCCCAAAGGAGTGATCCTGCGGTTCCTCTCGTACCGCGCAGGATTACTCTCGCAACGACTTCCGTTGCCGCGGCTAGGGGTCTTCTGCCTTAGGGGCGTTTAGTCATAATCCCACGAACAATAGCTTCGCGCTACTGGTCACTCGACCAAGCATATGTACAGTACAAAGTGTCCGTTACACCCACACACTAACATTCATACATACAGAAAAACTCCCGATTTTTTTTTTTTGGCATTTCTAGACTTTTCAAGGTTCCCTGAGACCAAAATTATAGAAAGCTTAGTTAATGATTTTTTGATCGATAGCCATACTTTTCCTCTATTATAGATAACATAAAAGAAAAAGTATTGTTCAATCACAAATGATCATTTTACATTGACTTCTGTTGACTTCCTTATACATGATTGATACAAAGGTAAATTCACTATTTTTAGATACTAAAGATGGTAACTGAATTGACATAAACTAATGAATCGCTATATTATTTGTGAAGCGATTCCTTTATTTAAATTCAACTTTAAAACAGAAATTTGAATGGAAATGAATATTTTTTTCAGCTTTTTCTTTGATGTAATTAGAATGTAGGTAAATAAATAATTCTTGTAGCATTACTAAGAAAATAATATTACGTGATTTGATTTACACACAGATTGGCCGGAACAAATAAAGTAGATGTATTACTTTCTGATTGGTAAATACTTTTATGATTCCAAATTAATGATATATAAAAGACAAGTTTTTTTTATAAAATCAGTAATGTCAAGATTATAAAACTTAGTAACGAAGGAAAGTAATGTTTGCAGAATTTCGTCTGAAAGGTAATGCATAATTTAAACGTTTATAAATAATTTTTACTTCTAAATTTAAAGCGTTAATAATGGTATATTTATTAATTATTCGTTTGTTATTAATAATAAGTTATTAATGTAAAGTATAAAGTAGACTTTTCTTCTTCTTTAAGAAATCTTTTCGTGTACAAACTTAAATTAGGAAAATACATTATAGCTTGCATTTTAGTCCTTTTATTTTGTAAAAACAATAGCAATTTTTTTCTTTCTTATTTTTATGTTTTTTATCATCTGTAACTATAATTATGATAAACTTGGTTTATATAAAACAATCTTATTCAATGTTTACAATATCAAATTATGTTACTTCACTGTATTTCCAAACAATGAATTTTAAATTAACATAATAAAAGGTTCAAACTCAATTGTAATAGCATTGATATTGTATGAATTATTATGTTTGAAAGGTTGTGAATTATCTGTTATCAATTATTAATTATCTACGACAGTATAGTTTATTCTAAATATACACTATCTTATCAAATTTTATATAAATATATAAATCATGTCTTAAAGCATTTACATGATATCAAAATTTGATATTAAAATAATTTAAGAGAATATTATTTATACATAATGTTATTTTTATATACGTGTCTTAGATTTCATTAAATTATAGTGTATATTTATAATTTTTTACATAATTTAGTATAAATACAGTTTACCCCCTATAACATTGTTGATAATTCCGTGTTATATGAATTCCTTGTTATACGAGTCACTTAGATTTTACAAATACGTATGCCGGGCTGTGAACGGCTCTCGTATTTGTAAAATCTAAGTGACTCGTATAACATGTAATTCATATAACACGGAATTATCAACAGTGTTATAGGGGGGTCTACTGTATTTTATTCATTGTTATTCGTAAACGTGAGGACGGCACCTAATAACATACGTCTCACGCGATAATTATATAATTCTGTTTACATTTACGAGTTATGTTTACGTGAAATTACTTAAACCTTTTGGTTGTAACGATTTATCAGTAGCTTCGTTAACTGAAGAGGGGTCTGGTTTTATGGGGTAAGGCAATGCAACACGAAAGAGAACTTTCTATGGGAAACTGGACTCTATTTACTGTTATATACGAGAATATCGCGCTCCCATCAATGAGCTAACCAGATGTTTCCCGGGTTTTATTTACGTGTCTAAGATATAAACTGAGGCCAGTTTCCCTTAGAGAGTTTGCCGGAAGGCATTACTCTTTGGTGGATAGCCAATGTGTTAAGTTGCCGTATGCCATTAACCTTAAACCACTCGACAAATGGCGCGCCTCAGTAAATTAATACAGTAGAGCGTCGAATATCCGAAAGTCAATCATCCGAAAGAATTCCAGTCGGCAAATTTAAATTTTCGCCAGAGTTGTGGCGCTGCAATCTTTGGCTATGTCTTGGGCTACTCAAATATTTTACGTTTTTGATACTAAATTAACTTCTGAAGTATAATTTTTTATTGTTTTTATATTTTTCAATATATTTATTTTGTTCGTACAAAATAAAAAAATAATTTTTAACNGACTTTATAAATTCAAAGAAAACTAACAAATTCCATTTCCAAAATTTTAAACCGTGTGTTAATAGAGGAATTTAATAAGATTTGAACACAAAAACTTGCTTGGTTTTAGCTGTTTAAGTTTTCAAAAAGGATTTTCCCATAGGAAAAATCATTATACTGTATTTTTAAAACCATATGCCAAAGATCGAGTGCAATTGGCGTTAAAAATTTAAAGTTTTTTTTAAATTATTTTTCTGTGTTTTATTTCTATTAAGAGTGTTTTTCCTTCTCAATTTCTTTACAGATATCCCATAGAAAGGAATTCGTCCAATATTGTCAGGCATAGTTGCTCTCGTATTTGTAAAATCTAAGTGACTCGTATAACATGTAATTCATATAACACGGAATTATCAACAGTGTTATAGGGGGGTCTACTGTATTTTATTCATTGTTATTCGTAAACGTGAGGACGGCACCTAATAACATACGTCTCACGCGATAATTATATAATTCTGTTTACATTTACGAGTTATGTTTACGTGAAATTACTTAAACCTTTTGGTTGTAACGATTTATCAGTAGCTTCGTTAACTGAAGAGGGGTCTGGTTTTATGGGGTAAGGCAATGCAACACGAAAGAGAACTTTCTATGGGAAACTGGACTCTATTTACTGTTATATACGAGAATATCGCGCTTCCATCAATGAGCTAACCAGATGTTTCCCGGGTTTTATTTACGTGTCTAAGATATAAACTGAGGCCAGTTTCCCTTAGAGAGTTTGCCGGAAGGCATTACTCTTTGGTGGATAGCCAATGTGTTAAGTTGCCGTATGCCATTAACCTTAAACCACTCGACAAATGGCGCGCCTCAGTAAATTAATACAGTAGAGCGTCGAATATCCGAAAGTCAATCATCCGAAAGAATTCCAGTCGGCAAATTTAAATTTTCGCCAGAGTTGTGGCGCTGCAATCTTTGGCTATGTCTTGGGCTACTCAAATATTTTACGTTTTTGATACTAAATTAACTTCTGAAGTATAATTTTTTATTGTTTCTATGATAAAAATATATCTAAAATATATCCATGCATTAAATCACCGATTTTTAAAATATAAGTAAAGAAAAAAATTCGTTTACTCTGCAATATTCTTTCAAAGAATATAAATAGTTCAAAAACCTTTGGCTGATATTTTTCTTCAGACACGTACAAAATAAAAAAATAATTTTTAACGATACAATAGTCTTTGTTAGGCTTAACACTGACGAAATTTCAACGCGAAGCGACATGCAACGGAGAAAAATTTCAAAACGGGATAGGTTATATTTTTTCGTACATAATTGGTTATCCGAAAAATAAGTTATCCGAGTGACCNAGATGGGATAAATTAATATATTTTTTCGTACATAATCGGTTATCCGAAACATCGATCTTCTGAACAACCCCAGTCCCCAATTGATTCGGATAATCGACGCTCTACTTGTATAAGTATTTTTTAAATTTTCTTACTATTTATTTTGGTAAATATCTTTCTTTAATTAATATGTTTAAATCAAATTCGATACAGATAAAAAAAAGTATTGAAATTGTATCTTTATTTCGATTCTCTAACACGGCAACACCCCTTTTTTTAATATAGATTCCTCCCATTTGACGTCATGTCATTGTTGTCTAATCCCTTCTTCGCGCGAACAAACAGTTAAATAAATTGAGTTTATTAAATTAATACTGTTTTTTATTTTTATAGAAATATAAAATTCCGAGATGCCATGCGAAGATGATTTATATGCCGTTAATCGATTTGTATCATCCAGTTTTAAATGGTTGGGCTTAAAAATTGGACGGCATCCATTATACTTCATAATCATTCCTTCACTTTTCACCGCATTGATGTGTTTGGGAATCCTAAGATTAAAGGTGTTTGATGATACTGAATATTTATTTCTTCCACTTGACGGTAAAACCGTAAAAGTCAGATCGGAAATAGAAAGATTATTTCCAGAAAATGTCACTGATTTTGATGTTTCGCACATAACGAGATACCGAGGTAGTGGCGTTATTATAGTCACACCCAAATATGGAGAATCTATGCTAAACCAATCGATTTTTGAGGAATTGACGACGTTAAATGAAATAATTTTCAATATATCTGTTGAATGGAAAGGAAAAACTCTGACATACTTAGATATATGTAGAAAATACAAAGGAAAGTGCATTAAAAATGATATTTTGTCGCTAAAAGATAAAATAGAAAAAATTAAAAGTAAAAAGTTTAAAATCAGGTAAGTGATTCTTTTCAGTTTATTGTGTTATTTTTTTAAGTTCGATGTAATCTTCGAATAATATTGACTCATTTCGAATGTAACTAAGAAAGTAAACTGCCAGCTTAATTTTTTTTTCAAATAGAATTCCATTGGGAAGATCAATTTTATTCATTTAATATTAATTAATCTACTAGAACCGCGGTTCCCAAAGTGTGGGTGGTGGACCGCGTTGGGGTTCGCCAGAGATTTTACACAATAAAACAAAAACAGCGATACCGACACTCTTTTATCTTGTATTTACAGCAGAAAATTAGTGTAAAATATGTGCTTGTTTTTCAGAAACTTGTTTCTCTAATCTGAACTCCGTATTCGAAATACACACAATTAAATCATTTCCAAGTTCAAGGCAATTTCTCGCTTGTGTTTTGGTGTAGTCATCGATGAGAAACTTTTTCTGAAAGATGTCCAGTTGCGAATGGTGTCATAAATGCTTAAAGAGGGGGTATAAATAAGAAAAAAAGAAAAGTTCTTAGGGATCGCTAGCAAATATTTACGACTTTATAAATTCAAAGAAAACTAACAAATTCCATTTCCAAAATTTTAAACCGTGTGTTAATAGAGGAATTTAATAAGATTTGAACACAAAAACTTGCTTGGTTTTAGCTGTTTAAGTTTTCAAAAAGGATTTTCCCATAGGAAAAATCATTATACTGTATTTTTAAAACCATATGCCAAAGATCGAGTGCAATTGGCGTTAAAAATTTAAAGTTTTTTTTAAATTATTTTTCTGTGTTTTATTTCTATTAAGAGTGTTTTTCCTTCTCAATTTCTTTACAGATATCCCATAGAAAGGAATTCGTCCAATATTGTCAGGCATAGTTTAAATTTGGGTGGAGTATCTACGGATGAAAACCAATTTGTAACAGATTTCAAAGCAGTTCGTTTAATTTATTTTGTAAATTATAACAATTCTACTAATCGAGAAATTTCCAAACTGTGGGAAGAGAAATTTCTGAAAATTGAATCTCATTTTACTTTCAAATATATTAATGTAATTAAAATGACCGGATTAAGTATCAACATAGAAACGAATTATTTCATTGAAAACATTATAATTCATATTATCATCAGCGGAATCATAACAACAATATTTGTGATGGTTTCGTGTTTATCAACGGATTGGGCAACGAGTAAACCTCTAGTCGGTGTCTGCGGATGCACCTCTTCTTTGTTTGGAGTTATATCAGCCTTTGGTATTTTACTCATTTGTGGAATGAAGTTTATCGAAATAAATAGTCTTATTCCTTTTATTGTTTTAGGTAAGTAAGGACGACTCTCTCATATCCGGACTCTCCCTTATCCGGATAACTCTCGCCCACATTAGTTCGAATATGAGAGAGTGTACTGTATACAATTTGATCCTTTAGTATTTAAACCGAACTTCATTATAATTTTTGAATCTTTATAAAGTACCTTTACTATTATTTAGGTATCGGATTAGATGACTCGTTTGTTTTATTAGCAGCGTGGAGAAGGACTGATTATAAAGATCCAGTAGAGAAAAGACTAAGTTTAGCATATTCTGAAGCAGCAGTGTCTATCACTATAACGTCATTAACTAATATAATCTGTTCGTTGATTGGATTAACTACTAATTATAAAGTAATTCAGATTATGAGTACTTACATGGCCTTAAGCATGTTAATGGATTATATCTTTCAAGTAACGTTTTTTGGTGGATGCCTTGCAATTAGTGGTTATGCCGAAGCTAAAATTCGACAATCAGTGTCTTATTCTCCTGTTAGATGGAATAAAAATTCAGGTAGATATATTTTTATAATTTAAAATTTTATTATAATTATAGCACGCAAAACTACTGGATAAAACTTCGCAATTAAATTTAAAATTTGTCAATTTTGTAAATTGTGTGTTAAAGTCCAATGTTTTCAAGAAGATTCAATTGTAATTTATTAAAGAATTTATTAAAATAGCCATATAGGATGGACAAGGAATTTATAAAGTAGATTATTTTATACGATTAGTTTTTCTTACATTTCTTATTTTTATAATTATAAATATAATTAAATAGCTTTGATTTGGCTAATTTTAAATTAAAGTAAAATTTATATTATGTTTGATTCTGATGAAACCGTGTTGTTGTTATTATGCTGTTTTTTTGTAGACACACTAAGGTGACATATTTCAACACTTGGCAAATTATTCACTATTTATTCAGTTGGGTCCAACTGAATAAATAGTGAATAATTTGCCAGGTGTTGAAATATGTCACCTTAGTGTGTCTACAAAAAAACAAAAATTTATATTATGTCTTTGTCCACTTTGGACATTCTTGTTAACTAGGACTAATCCAAAGTGGACAAAGATAAAATACTTCGTGTATATAAGTAATTAAGGAGAAGCACATATAATGTTACCAAAGTGTGTAACATTAAATTTTCTTGTGATCACTAACAACCTGCGAAAGAAATTGGTTTTGCTGTTCGTGTTCGTCTTGGTTATATTTTTCAATTAGTCCAACTCATTTCTTCCTCTTTTTCAAGAAGGTTCGCCATGAGATGTGAGTTCCACTTCAGCAATTGCATTGCTCAGATGACTGGCACAGTCTAAATTCTCGAAATCATTGCTGGATGACGAGAAACTCAAAATAACGTGAGGTTCTATTCCTGTTTTCTTCCGACTCTTCTCAAGCCTGTTAATATTTTATCGTTCGCTTCCGTATTCTAGAACCTCGTCAACTCCTGCCATCTTTCTTCTTCGTTATTTTTCCTCTGAGCCTTGTCAACCTTCTTCGATTGTCATCGTGATGGTATTTCTGGATGTGCAATATCCAAATTGAGCTCATTGAGGCTGTTGCTGAAAGCAGTTTGTTTTTCGGATAATTTCTTCTTCTTTTCATTTCTCTTTAGCTTCTACCAGTCACGGAAGTTTTTTCAACTACAATTACATAATTAGCGATTATTACATTCGTGGAAATTGGCTCACTCGCTCGTCTCGTGTGCCAAACGTCCATTCATGCCATAATCGCCTATACGAGGGCTGTTCAAAAAGTATCGGACCTTTGCTCGGCAAAAATACATTTATTGATTTTGAGGTACAAAACCCTAATCCCCTTCAAAATAGTCTCCTTGGTAGTGTATACACTTCTCCCAGCGTTCCTGCCATTGCTGGAAACACTGCTTGAACGCATCTTTTGGAGTGGCCATCAGCCAGTCCGTCGCATTCCTCACGATGTCTCCTCTCGACTAAAATCGGGTTCCTTTTAGCGGCATTTTCAGCGTGGGAAATAGCCAAAAGTCACACGGAGCCATGTGGGGAGAGTACGGAGCATGAAGAACAACAGGAGTGTTGTGTTTGGCGACGAAAGCCCGAATCAGATGCGCAGAATGGGCGGATGCGTTATCACGATGGAGCTGCCAAGTTTTGATCGACCACAGATCTGGTCGTTTGCGTCGCACAGCATCGGAAAGACGACGAAGGACCTCCTGGTAGTACTCTTTTGCGATGGTTTGGCCTTGTGGTGCGTACTCACGATACACCACCCCACGAGAGTCGAAAAAACGTCAACATGACCTTGATATTGCTGCGGACCTGCGCTTTTTTTGGCCTCGAGGATCGTTCCCAAAAGCCTGCTGAATCTTGAGAATGGTTTACGCTTGGGTATCGCCAAGGTTTTTGGCAAAATTTGATGTAAGATCGCTGCTCACGTTGTTCTTTCCAACTTAGTGGAATTCGACGAGAGCTCACTACATGTCCTCACTCATAGGCCGACTGCCAACGACTGACGCTTCCTGCAGGTGGGAAAAAATTCAGGGCTGTGCATGACTGTCCCCTTCACAACTCCACCGAAGGAGGCCTCCCGCGCATTATTGGTTTACGCGGAAAAAATAAAAGTTCGATACTTTTTGAACAGACCTCGTATTATAAACTAATTGTATAATGTACTATTAATATTTTAATTACTGCTTAAAACCACAAATTGTTTGTATTATTGATTTTATAACTTTAAAAGTCTACCCATAAATTAAACTCTTGAACTTAACGTTAATCGTGATTAATCCAAAATAACACAATGTTTATAATGAAAAAAATATACAGTATACCTTGTTTATTTACAGGCTTTCAAGCACTCATGACGTGTAGTTTTCTTCCGGAAAAGTTCAGAGAAAACAGAACCACGACAAGTTTCTATAAAGAAAAATTAGGTAGAATTATTTCATTACCAATAGTAAAATTTGCCATCATCTGCATCTTTCTTGCGTATCTTAGTGGCGCTATTTATTCTTTAAAACATGTACGCACTTCTACCGACTTGAAGATTTATTTCTGCAAGAACTCTTACATGATTGACTACTTACAGGGCGACGTTAAATATTTTTCAAATTATCGCGATAGAATTCAATTATTGATTAACAGACCATTAGATTATTCAAACCCCGAAGTTCAAGATAAGATCGAAAAATTTATGATTCAACTAGAAAATTCTCCTTACATGGCTGGATTAAATTTCACTAATTCATGGTTAAGATCATATTTGAAATTTATACAAAACCCGCATTCATGGATATCTTTTCATGGTTATAATTTGAGTAATCCTGAAGATTTTGTGGATGCTTTGTCTAACGTATTTTTAAAAATTAAACAATTTCAAGCTTTAAGAAAGAATATTGTCTTCGGTGCAAATGGCAAAAAGATATTGGCTTCCAGGTTTTTTGTTCAAACGGGTCTACTCGACAGTGTAAGTGCTGAAAATACAATGTTTTCTAACATGTGGAAATTAACAGAATCATCCGATCTACCCATTCAGGGTTTTAATTATCGATATGTTTACTACGATCAGATTTTTACGTCGATTCCTGTTGTAATTCAAGCAATATCTATTAGTTCTTGTTTAATTATTCTAGTGTTTCTAATTTTCATTCCCAGCTTATTTTGTGCAATATGTATTGGTTTCACAATCGCTTCAATCGAAGTCATTGTTATGGGTTACATGACATTGTGGGGAATAAGTGTAAATCAAGTATCTATGATATTGTTAATAGTTATAACGGGATTTTGTACGGATTATTCGGCTCACATATCGTATGCGTATGTAAACAGCAAGAAAAACACTTCGGATGAGAAAATTAAGGATGCTCTACACGCTGCTGGTCACGCTATCGTACAAGGATGTCTGTCGACAATTATAGGAGTTGCATTACTGGTAACTGCTCCCTATGAGTTTTTTGTAAGCGTATTTAAGATATTTTTTATTGTAATAACCTCTGCGATATTTTACGGTTTATTTATTTTACCAGTTTTATTGTCTTTGTGGGATGATTTTCGGTTGTATTTCAAATCGTCAATAAAAAATTATTTTAAATAATTTATTGAAGTATATTCTCTTATTTGTATATTATTATAACATATTTTCAAACTTACCTAACGAAGACATGCGATATACGCATTAATAAGTTTATTTTTGTTTAAACTAACAAAGCCTGATTGCTTTGATATCAATGGGTGCGGTGCTACAGCACCATAAACGTCCAAATGGATACGTCCTTGTTTTACTCTTCATACATCTTTAAATTTTATTAATTTAACATATGACTTTGATTTCTGATTTATAGTTAATAGAAAAAGTATTATTATTGTTGTTACTAAAATAGAATAAATTTCAAATATAGTATAGGAAAGGATTAGAAACTTGATTATTTAAAGATGCAATCGGTATTTATACGTGTAAAATATTAAGTTCTACTTATGAGGTGTATATTGGATACAAATGACTTATCGTATACTTATTTTTATATAATTATAATAGCTTATATAAATACGATTTTCAGACGAGTACATTGGAAGATCTAATCTGACGCCTTGTTTTTTGAGCTGAAACCCTCCGTACAATTGTTACTCCTTCGCTAATGCGCGAGAAACAAAATACATGCAAAGTTTTCTTTAAATTCTCCTGTTAAAGTGTGAAAAAATGCCTTGCATGGTTGGCAGGATAAAAGGTTTTGTTACATTGCTTGAAAATTTTTCGGGAAGAAAAGTTTTTAAGTATCATTGTATTATCCATCAAGAAGCTTTTTGTGCCAAGGACTTAAACCTGTCTTCTTTTGTTGACTTTGTAGCGCGCTGTATCAACAAAATACGAGCTCGAGCTCCGAATCGACGACGATTTCGTGAGCTTTTCCCGGAAGAAACGGAAGAGAATGGCGAGTTACTACTTCATTGTAGTGTGCTCTGACTTTTCAAAGGAAGTGCACTCGCGAGATTTTAGAATTTGAGGTAGTGTGTTTTAAAGTATCTGGAAGAAAACAATGAACTTCCCAGTGACTGCTCGCTACTCAAGAATGAAGATTGGCTATGGGATTTAGCTTTTTTCACCGATATTATGGGACATTTAAATAATTTAAATTTAAGATTATAAGGAAAAGATTGTATTTTTCTTACCCTAGTTGATTATATATCTTCGTCTCGATTTTGGAGAAAGAAGTATTTCTCACGAAATTCAATGCACTTCTGTCGTTGATTCAGCTGCTCCTTAAAGACACATATTAGCTAATGCTTTCAGAATTTCTTCAGAATCGCTTTAATGTGTGACCACTGTGGTTAGGCACTGGAAAATTATTGTCCTCTAGCTGCAATGCTTCGAACAGGAAGAGTCAGGTGCAAAATCCGGAAAGAACAGTGGATATTACAAACGAGATTTTTTTTCTTATCCAAAATTTTTGAATTTACATATCACACACAGTGTTCAAATGGTTTTTACTCGAATGCTCTAATTTTACTAACATAAATGAAAACACATAGACCCACTGTCTATTCGTTATTGTTACACTGTATATGCAATTTATTTTTAAAAATGGGTTTTGCTGCTACACACCCCATCTCAGGTCTCAGCACGCCTGTCAAGATCTTTTATATCCGCTCTATATTTTCAAATAGATAAACTGAGGTTTACGAAATTCTATCTGTGATATTTCATAGTTTAATTCTCGACAGTTAATGTGATTACACCATCCATTGTCACTAGCATTTATCTGTGAGATGTTTAGTGGTGCTCACACGTTAAACAAATTTGTGAAATTGCTGACTTACACAGTACAAGTAGTAGGAATGAACGAGTAATTTGCTAAAATTCAGCACACAAATTTAATACTGTGAATCTTCTATATTTAATCGAATGCTTCTTGAGAGCATCAATAACGATCGACTGGCGACTTCTTTCAACTTCTTCGTGCATGTTTCGTTCGTTTCACACTGTCACACTGCATATCTATAATATAATCGAGACGGGTTGATGATAATAATAATAATAATAAGTGCAGAGCCCAAACGGTTAGGAGTTGGAAGCTGAAATTTGGTACACAGTTAGGGCACGTCACGAAAACGCACACTAAGAAGGGATTTTTCGAAATGCCCCCCTGGGGGGAGAGGGGCAGGATTAAGCTTAACACTGTTAAGTAACAATGGAAGTAGTAAGTAACAATGGAAGTTTTAAGTAACAATAAAAGTTTTAAGTAACAATGGAAGTTTTAAGTAACAATAAAAGTTTTAAGTAACAATGGAAGTGTCAACAATGGAAATGTTACGTAACAATGGAATTGTTAAGAGAAAGCGAC